GTGGCAGATGTCTGAAAGCTTCACACAGGTCAAGAAGAACCTGAGTGAGTTGTCCAAAAACAAAGACCATAAAAAAGGATCTGAGGCCAGGTACTCCAATCCTGTAAAGAGGCTGGAGACTAACCCCTCGATATCAGTCCGTGAACTGTTCCCAGGTGAGGAGGAGATGAACTTACAGTGTAACATAGAATTCAACAATGTGAAGGGAGTCACCCCTGAAGGATGGGAGAAGTGCAACACTATGATTCAGTATGATGTAGAGACCAAGAAGCTTTGGAATGAGCTCCAGCGGCCGTACGGTAACCAGTCGTCGTTCCTACGTCACCTTATTCTGTTAGAGAAATATTTTAGAAGTGGTGACCTGATACTATCGCATAACGCGTCCCCTCACGCGGCCACGTACAGTGACTCCGTGCAGAGCAGACTGCGCGCGTACGACAACGTGGTCACAGACGCTCCCAGGCGTAGCGAGCCCGCAATAAGCCTCATTGAGTTTAGGAAGAAACCTTCACTCAATGGCAAGAGTTTGCTGAAAACGAGCCAGAGCGAAGGGGAAAAAGAAAGCCATAAAAAGTTTATGCCGCCTCCTGGAGTGTTGCCGAAACAAAAATCGAAGGGTGACAAGTCTAAGTCGAAGCCGCTGCCTCCCGAGTTGATAGCGATCAACACACCGAACGCCCAGGGCCGCAAGGCGATACAGAACGTGCTGCACAACATACAGCAGCTCGTGAAGGGAGTGTCCGCCTCCGACCCCACCGAGGTGGCGGCCGCCCCCCTGCCCCCCGCCCCGCTGCCCCCGTCCCCCCTCCCGGCCACAGTGACGGCGCTGCCCGCCCCGGCCCTGGCCCCCGCCCCCGTCCCCGCACCCCCCAAGTACGAGCCGGCCGTCGTCACCCCCGCCAAGGAGAAGAAGGACAGTACTAAAAAAGACGAAACTCCCAAGAAACCCAAGACTACCAGCAAGCCATGGAGACCTACACTCATGCCTATCACGCCGGTGAGTTCTATTAACTGTTATATTGCATATCTCTACCACTATGTAGCACTAAAATAATTTTTGTTAAAACCAATCCACCTCCATTATTATACATTACAGCCATATTTTTTCTTAACTTCTTGTAAGTATAAATAATGTTGAAAAGAATAAATTCTACATAAATTACAATACAATTATCATATAAAATGCAAATGTTTTTTAAAAGAAGTAATAATTGTTAGTTTTGTAGTGATTGTTTAATTTTAATAGTATGAATTCATTTTACAGGAGAACCTAGCGAAGATAGCTCGCGAGCCGACGCAGGTGGCAGTGGACGGACGCACCCTGCCCAGCCTCGTGCAAGTAATGTCCTCGGGCAAACGATATCACATCACGCTGCAGGACTACAACAAGATGTGCATCATGCGCAGAGAGAAACTACAGCAGATACAGGATGGGGAGAAAACCAAGCGACAGTCCACGGAAGAGAACTCCGTTGTCACCGATATACAGCCCTCCAACGCACAGTGCGCCATGTTGGGAAACGGAGGCACCGTCGTGCAGAACGTGGCGCCCGACGACAAGGCCCACGACAAGAAGGACGCCGCCGACATCGCACAGATCGGCACCAACGCCGCCACCATACTCAAGAACGTGGGCCTCAAGAACATCACCATCGCGCCCATCCCGCAGAAGACGGCGACGGTGACGTCCCAGACGGCGGCTCCCGCGGCCGTGTCGTCGGCGTCCCTGCTAGTGGGCTCGGCGCTGAAGCTGCCGGCGCTGGGCCCCGCGGTGTCCATCGTGAGCGAGGCGGGGCCCGCGCTGCCGAAGATCCCGCGGTCGCTGACGGTGATCCCGCAGGGGCTGGCGGGGCTGGCGGGGCTCGTGCCCGCCACGGACCCGCCGCGCCCCTAACGTCGGCGCCGCCTGCTGTACGTGCTCGTGTCTCTCGGGCCCGACTGACGCCGCGACCGAACGTTTGCAATAAGTGAAAGCACCTGAAAAGCCTTAATAATTATACTGTGTATATATTAGTGTAGTGACGGACATTGTGCTGTGAAAATGGTGACAAGGAATGTGTTAAATATATTACTCTGAAGGTTTTTAATTTTTTCTTTTCATTTTGTGCAAATGATGCGATGGTTTGTGCTGATCCTGTAGGTGTCGTGCAGGCTACTGTGCTCACAGACTCACTTGTGTGACGTACTTGTAGCTGAGACAGATCATGAAGTATATCGGTTAAGGTAACATGGACTGCCTTTTAGATTCAATACTTGTGTAGCTATGATCTAAAAGGAGCATTATGTGTCTGCCTCCATGAAAGAGTACTCTACAAAAGTAATGACGCAATGAAGGGATAATATATGGTTTGTGACAATGAAAACAACATTAACTCGGTTAATACTAATTTATTATAAGTTCAAAAGAGGCCTGCTTACATATTAGTTACTATTTATAATCAAACCTGACTATTATACTAAAATATAGTTCCTTTCTGAGAAATATTCAAAATTCTCTAGTCAGGTGAGAATATGCATTTATAATTTATTTATTTAGCCTTCAATGCCATTTTGAAGGACAGGAATTTTACTGTATTATTAACATTATAAAGAAAACATGCCTCTGTATCACACTGTGCTATTTTAATCTTTACAATGTTAACAATAAAGTGTAGTTTACATTGGAATGTGCAAGTCCTGGAAAATAAGGACTGATTGAATCCAATCTGGTATAGACACGTGTATGTAGATAGTGCAAGAAATAGCACATTCTTGGTAAGGCGTCGACCTTATGACGTAGCAATAAGGGCGGTGTTGCAGTGTGCCAGTGCCCTAGGCAACTGTAGTAGCTCGCTAGCTCGCCACTAGCTCGCCGATGTAGGCGTAGGAAGGATGGCGGTCGCCGCATCACCTCGTATCATTCGCATGAACCTAGACAATTATGTAAAGTAATGTATAGCGTAACTTTGTAAGAATATCACTCGGAACATATTTTTCCAATTGTTAATTATATATAAGGATGCATTAGGAACTCATTTAGAGCTAAAATCCAATTAAGTAGAGATAAATAATTTTGGAATAATACACGTTTTACATGTTGATTTCGTATGTTGATTTAAATTCGTAACAATAATAGATTCAGAGGGGCATTTAGAGTTAGTATAAAGTACAATCTGACATTATTATTTATTTATTCAACAATGATTTTGCGAAGTATATGATTCATTAATCGTCTCAATTTAGAATGCACACAATATTTTTGTGAATCCATTATACATACTTATGATATAGAAAATATTTAAGAAATTGTTATAAGCTAATTATAAATGTCCCCGTATAACAATAACATTGTAAAATTAATGAACGTTAAATACAAAGTTGGTGATTAAATTTGTGCCTGACAGATGAATATAAAAGTTTATGTAATCACACTGTACATAGTATATCACGGGAGCCAATAAACGGAAAGTTCTGACGACTTTTATATATGTAATAAATAAACTTAAAGCTCTCGATGAGTGCCCTGCGTTTGTTGCTGTAGTCTCGATGTTGTCTAAAAGTATATTTTTTTATCAAAGCTAGGTAACAGATAATATTTTTGAAATAAATGTGCAGGTTGGAGGGACTTTGCGAAATAATCTTGTAACTAAAATGTTTAAAAAGCGATATCCCTTGGCCGTTTATTTGAAATGCGAAGCGACAATCATAATCTTAAACATTATTCAGACACGACCAGTCAATGTATTTGTCAAAATCATGTGAAATGAAAGACAATTTGTTTTAATGGTAGTTAAGCTAGTCTGAAATCATGGTTGTTTACTTGTTTGTATGTGAACACAAAGTATATAAAGGACCATGTACCACAAGCTGGGTTACTCCATAAGATAGTGAGAGTCGATAGTTAATTTTCACGTTAAATTGTATAGTAAACTACAGATAGTATATGTATAATTGTATACGCCAGAGGCACTAAGAACCCCGTACCACTACATCGGCAAACGCAGGGGCAATGTTAAAACATGATAATTATATATCTATATTGTTGAAATTTAGCTATTTTATTTTTGGTCCAACGATATAGCTAGGTCCAATGTTAAAGGTAGTGTCACGAAAATTTAACGTAAGTTAAGGCGACGTTCCTAACGATCCATGCTCACTTTGAGTTACATACAGTTTCTGAAGGCACATGGACTGTGGTTGTATACGCCTTGCTTCCTAACATTGCTAATGAACTATTCGAATCTCTTTATATTTCTGTAAACTGTCGTAGTCTTCCAATTAGTCTCGTTCGTCGACTGTCCTTGTGTCGACTGTTTTAGTTATTTGACGATATCTTTAGGTTAAGGAACTGTAATTTTCAATTATGTAGTTGTAATGATTTCAAGTTATTTGCTAAGTAGAGCTTCGACATTGCTTGTATCGATACTTTGTGATATCTTCTCCTGGCCTGGATACCTATGTTTCTGATGTACTGCCAAAATGAATAAAAGACCAATGGATGTGTTAGGCTCGGAAGCTGTATGTAGCTTGCTTCCAGTGTCGTTGACGCCGCCCTGACTGCATCAATGTTATATAAATACTGCTAGTATTTTAGTAATTTGGAAGTTCCCCCCGCTGTTGTTATCATTATAATTTCGTCGATCATTTTCTTTAAGTTTTTGAACAAATTGTAGCCGCCCATAGCCCGGATATTTTGTTTCTTCCAAAGATAGTGCGATAGTTCACAATATTATTATTATTTTAGTTATTATTTGTTCGGCATGCGTCTCGCATCGTGCCGGAGGTATGAATTGTCTAATAAACATATCTTATCTCCTGACTTGTTGTGTTTTCTTCACACTTATGTTTAAGTTTATAATTAATTGCCTATTAACTAGTAACAGTTGAATTATAATGTGTTACTTTGAATAAACGTCTACAGAATGTTTGTAAAAAACAAAATAAATTTACATCAACTAAATTAATTTAAAACACTTAAAATTAATTTTCTATGACACGCGACATACTAAAATACTTTAAAATTAATTAGTACTATTAGCATCCTTCTTCTTTTGATGTTTGCTCGCGCCCTTCGTCCGCTTCCACTTCATTCTTCTGTTCTGAAACCATACTTTAACCTGTAACAAAACAAATCGGACATTTTAATTACAATTTAATTTAAATATTGCTTGTTTGTGCTGTTCCCGGTTTGAGAAAGGTACTATTGGAGTTAATTAAGCTCAGACTCAAACCATAATTACTGAAAAGTGAGTGTTAAATGTAACACTGGTGATACATTACATACAATGGTACATGCGTATCTCTGCCGACCCCTTCGAGATTAAAAGGCGTGACGTTCACATCTCAACCCATAAGCAACCTATTCACCCAGGCCTTGAGGACACCCAGGTAGGAAATACAGACCGACAAAGAATTCCACTCCTTAGCAGTACGCACAAGGAGTCTTGATGGGAAGCGCTTCGTGTGTGTGGGTGGGGCATCTACCATGAATCGTCTAGTAGCACAATGATGGAAAAGACTAGGGGAATCGAGTTGTGCAATTCCATTTAATCACAAATAGATTTGAAGAGCTTAAAATCAAAATAAAACATGAATTTTGGTATTTGTTTACCTGTCTTTCTGTTAAATGCAATGCGACCGCTATCTCATACCGGCGCAGTCGTGTCAGATAGTTGGCTCGTGTAAATTCTGCTTCCAAGCTTCGAATCTGGGCCTTCGTGAACGCAGTCCGCTCTTTGCGACTGCCTGCTGGAGATTGTGTGCCTGTTAAAAATATTATCATATGAATTTTGAGTTACTGCCTCGTTGGCCGGGGCAAGTGGTCTCGGGTTCGATTCCCGGGACGGGCAAAGTTTTACTAAGATTTTTTTTTAAATTCTCAGTAGTAGCATGGTGTCTGGAATTGTGCCCGATATATGGCAATAGGCGCACCCCCTATCACATGGGACTCATAATAAAAATAGTGAAAAGTGGGTGTTACATTGTACAGTGGCATAATGTGCACCTCTGCCTACCCATTCGGGGATAAAATGTGTAACGGGAATGTTATGTGAATTTCGAGTTAAGTACTTAGTGAACGTTAATCCGCGTAGAATTTGACGCTAAACCATAAAGTTTAATTAGACACACATAACATCACGACTTTTATCTCCGAAGGGGTAGACAGAGGCGCACATTACGGCACTTAAACTGTCAAACACCAAGCGGTCACCGGTGACCGCAACCTATTGTTCTTTAATTGTGTCTATAAATACGGTACTCGACGAGTTAAGCCACTATACAAGTTTAATTAGACTTTCCCATTAATGCTTTACTCTATAAATCCTCGAAAATAACAACACACAATTACTCAACCCAAATCTAGAACGATTCTTTTTATTGTTTGAGAAAGGTCTAAAGAAACTAAGGTTTACAATTATCTAAGTACTCTTAGGTCTAAAATCTTACAAAGCCATATCTAATTAATCTGATTAACAGCTAATAGCATCCGTCGTGTAACGGGTAGCAGATGTTACGGCGCCGGCGCCGACTGTCCATTGTTTACCATTACTTTATTACCGATCTATGTTTGTGTCGCGAATCCTGCGCCTGCGCACATTTCCACTCGTAAACTGAGGTGTGACAGGAAGGTGGTACTGTTTATTGATGCTAGTATAGTTGTATAGTTTTGATTTATGATCGTAAACTTATTGGACATTGGAACATATACATACATATGTGTTCTAATATCTAAAATTAGAATTTGTTTAAAATATTTGCAATTTTAACCTCCTTCAGCGGGTTTGTCCGCGTTATCGGGGTAAAAAGTAACCAAGCTAGGTATTTTTCTAGATTACTTATAATCTAGGCCTTTAGCAGTAGGACGACCATGGCTAAAAGTAAATAAATTAAAATTACTCATAATCTATATGTATGACCAATCTTTCATTAATAAACCGTCTTATCATTTCCCTAGTGGTCCCAAATGCTAACCTATGCGCAAATTAGACAACTTGCAAAAAGAATGCACGTCATACACACCAGCAGGAAATAACAAGCGTGATAAGATGATTTAGTTAACTAATGCTTTATCGGCCGAAGTTAATATAGGCAACCGATGTTATAATGAGATGACATCGGATTTTTTACACTTAAGGAGTACCTTCTTCGTTGGCCGAGGGGTCGCAAGTGCGACTGCCGAGCAAGAGGTCTCAAGTTCGATTCCAGGGACGGGCAAAGTAATACTAGATTTTTAAAATTCTCAGTAGCTGCACAACTGCAGACTCCGTGTCTGGAGTTGTGCCCGGTATATGGCGATAGGCTCACTCCCTATTACATGGGGCTCATAACATAAACAGTGAAAAGTGGGTGTTACATTATACAGTGGCATTAAGTGCCGTAATGTACCTCTCGGCCTACCTACCCATTTAGGTACATTTACTTGTACTTTTATGGAGTTTCTGTGAAAAACTTACTATTTATCCAGGAATTTTGAATGAATATCAGTAAATAGGTACAATTTATATGCGCAATGTTACTCACCTTCTACAAATGCCCTTCCCTGCTCTTCACTTTCCTCCTTGACCACAATATGGCTCTCCCACTCCCCCCACTCCCAGTCACAGGCTTCCCTGGCCTCACACAACCCCCTATCAACCGCTCTATAGTCATAAAAGAAAGGTAGATAGCCAGGGTGGATGAGCTCGCCTGGTGAGCTATTGACTTCCTGCTCGAAGATGGGCTGGTAATGCAAGGGTTGGATACTATCTGGGTACTTCAAAGCTTCTTCGGGCTGTGTGGTAAAGTTGGATTTTAAATAATCCATTTGTGGTTTTTGAAAGAATGTTGTTACTTGTTTAATTCTTTTTTTATTGTTGAATGGTGATAGGTTTTTTCCAAAATGCTAGACTCTAGGTTTTCCGTATTTTGTAGCACTGATTTTAGTTATACTAAATGAATTAAGTACCTAAGTTTTATTTACGTGATCACGAAACACAAATAACTAATTAAACAATTATTTTCACTTATAAAACTTCGCGTTTGTTTCTTAATACACACGTCTGCTTACACCCGAGTTTCAGCGGATAATTCCTGAACGTTTAGTGATGCGCGCACGCATGCTACGTTGGGCGGAGCTTAGCTTTTGGGCGGAGACTACACAATTGAACGGAGTGAGATAATGTGCTTTAATTTGTCATTTCAACACTGTTATTATTTTTTTGTTACAGCTTTTTGATTTTACTAATTAATGATTTGAATGGTTCGTGATTACGAGTGAAGTGACTACGAATGCCTTTTGCTCCATTTTGTATACATAGATAGATACTTCATTCTTTTGATCTTAGATCAAGATTTTCTCAAACTAAACTTGCCGTGGTCCAAAAATAATTAGGTCTGTAGCTCGCAGGTACTAACATTTACTTAAATATTTAACTAGGGCAGAGAACCTCTAATTATATACTGATTTTCAATTGGCACCTCTACGGTGACACTCGGACAGAAGGAAGACGCGTAATAGTTTAGATTAATAACATAACATTACGCCTTTTATCCCCGAAAGGGTAGCCAGAGGTGCACATAACACCAGTGTACAATATAACACCCACTTTTCACTATTTATGTTATGAGTCCCATGTAATAGGGGGTGAGCCTATATTGCCTTATACCGGGCACAATTCCAGACTCCGTGCTACTACTGAGAATATTTAAAAACCCAGTAATACTTTGCCTGACCCGGGAATCGAACCCGAGACCCCTTGCCCGGCAGTCGATTAATCTGCTGTTTAAAATATAAAATACTTAAATAAAGGAAAGGAAACTAATAAATACAAATAATGATAAAGGTTATTAAGGCAGTTAAACTGTCAATAAAACGCTGTTGAAGGCTATCCACCGCTAATGTTGGTCACCGATGAACCTCATGGCGTTTGTTGTGTGAAATTAAAAAAATATTCTAACTACTGCTCTTCCTACTTTTTTATCTTTATTTAATTAGGAACTTTTGTACATAAATACATGACAGTTCCATTTTACCTTATCTACTATATAAAAAAAAGTCGGGTTTTCCTTCCTGACGCTATAACTCCAGAACGCACCGATTTCCATAGTTTTGCATTCGTTGGAAACGTTTATAGCAAAGAATGTTACATAAAACAAAGCCATCTGGTGGCGAAACGGAGTTATTATAACATATAACTTAATATAAACTTATAAGTTATTTAAACAAAATACTCTTAATATCTATTTAACAAAACGAAGACCTGCAAAGCTATACAACTTTTTGGCCGCATCAGATCAAGGAGTCTTCCTACTTTACGTACAAGCTGTGCTCTTTCAATTAACGAGGTAGCAATAAGCTTTGAGCTCTATTCCTTTTGAGAAGCCAACCAAACTTCTCCTTATGAGAAGAGGCCTTTCAACAGTGGGCTCTTAGGTATTATAGGCTGTTCATGTGTGATTAGATAAGAATTACGTTTAAGCTTTCGTTTAAAATTAATTATGAGGTATATAGTTCCACCATTCGAAAGCCCGGTATATGGCAATAGGCTCACCCCCTATTACATGGGACTCATAACATAAATAGTGAAAAGTGGGTGTTACATTATATAGTGGCATTAAGTGCCGTGATGTGCACCTCTGCTTACCCCTTCGGGAATAAATGGCGTGAAGTCATTCGGAAGCCGCATGATAGAAACTGCTTTGAAATGCGGTCTGTAGGACTAATGTGTGGTAGGGCCAGATCCTGTGCACACCATTTACCCTCCCGCTGCCGATGAGCGTTCAACCACGAAAGCTACGAGTAGATGCAGGTCGAAAATTGTTTTATATGTAAAAATATTCATTCATTCTTGAAAGATTTTGTTGAATCAAATCAGGTGTAACGTGAATTCTTGGTGCTTTGTTAAAAGGTTCTCTGAACTCTGTATCAGCCTTTTAGAAGCCCAGGGCATTGGCCCTTACGCGAATACGACGATTGCGCCATATTCGCGTAATTTACCTAGGTAATTTGTATATCTAAAACAAATTATTCAGCTAGGTGCACATGGAACTCCTCGGTAAGTACCTACTAGCTAGGTAAGCTTACATAGGCCTGGTCAATTTGGTAAAAAAGTAACTACCTGGTACTTAAAAGATTAATATCAGTCATTAGGTAATTTTGGCCATAGCCCGGTGTCTGTAGTCTGTAGTCTGTACCAATATTTAAGCATAGAAACTCCCCAATAACTAGTCACTAATCGAATACTTCCTATTTACAAATCATTAAGATAATCGAGTGATTTAGGTGAGAGCCCAACGTCAGCTTGTTTACATGGGGCAGTGTTAGCCCCCGGGGAATCGAACCCGCCCTCTGCCCTCGGTTTCTCACGGTGACTGGTAATTAACAACTGTTTTGTGATGAAAGTTTTATTACTACGTCTTATCATTAAGATACTTATATCCTTACTGATATTATAAATCGGAAAGTGAGTTTGTTTGTGTTTTGTTTGTTCCGCTTTCACGCCGTAACTACTAAATCGATTGCTTTGAATTTTTGCAGACGTAAAATTAGAAGTCCGGATTAAATAATAGGGTACTTTTTATCCCGAAAAAATTTGATATTCCCGAGGGAAAACAAAAGTATTGGTATAGATGGCGCTGTATGTATGTCACATAGGCTACTTTGTATCCTTTTGTGACGCGAGCGAAGCCGCGGGTAAAAGCTAGTTCTCTATAAGTTCACGATACATTTGAGCGTATATTGCATAGCACGCAGTTTTCGTATTTAAGCAGCAAGTTCGATACGTGTTAGAATGTTTTCTATTC